TCCTCTGGACGTGTGGCCTGTGCCTCGTCTGTACCAACCTTGTCTTGTTTCTGGTGGGAGGGGCAGGGCCCGGTCTCTGCTCTCAGGGATTGGTGGTGTGCTGATCCTCGGGGGATCCTCCTAGCTTTCTTAGGGCTGCTTAAATTCTCTAGTAAAAGAGAGATGTTTGCAGCAGAGACGTAACATGGGAGGAGGAGTCCTTTGTGTTGGGGAAGGGGGCTCTGCACCCATCCTTTCTCCCCAGGGTGCAAGCAGCCACCAAATCCCACTGCTGCTGATGGAGTCCAGTAGCAGGGCAGGCAGCAGAGGGAACTCCTGGCCCCTCACTACATCTCTGGTGGGAGCCCGACTGGTTTCTGCCTCTCCGAGGAGCGTGGAAAGTAGTCAATAGGCTTTTTTTTTTTTTTTTACCATGGATCTCTCTTGCTCCTTGGTACTGATATCTCTGTTGTTTTTTGATCTCTCAGAGCCTTTTTCGGTGCCCTGGTATGCAGTCATCTCCTGGCTCCTTGCTGCTTCTCAGTTCTTCTATTCCACCGGCCACCAGCCCATCTTCCCAGCCATCCACTGGAACGCAGCCTTTGTGGGCTTCCACCTTGACCACAGCACGAACCTTCTGCCTGCCGTCCTGGTGGGCGCCAACACCTTTGCCTCCCATATCCTCTTTGCAGGTAAATCAATTTCTCCCGGGGCTGTTGAGCCTGAGCAGCCATGGCATGCTGCTGTGCCTCGTCTGGAGGCCTGCAGGCTGAGCACGAGGCGATGAAGGCTCCAGCACCAGCTGAACAGCAGCGTCCTTGCTGTCCCCTCCTGGGGCCTCAGAGCTGCCCGTGGCCTGCAGCCTCCATGCAGTTGTGCCTGACCAGCAAAGTGGAGCTGGGGTATATGGTTCCTGCACGTCCAGGGAATGACCTAGGGCAGAGCCTAGACTGCTCCTCACCTCATGGGCTCCGGTAACTTCATGTGCCTTTGTCCTTGAGGTAGTTGGCTGCCCTCTGCTCCTGCTTTGGCCCTTTGTGTGTGAGATGCCCAGCTTGCAGAGGAAGAAGCCCAAGAAGGAGCCTCATGAGGAGCTGCAGGAGGCTGAGGAGCACATGATGGAGATGAGGCTGCGGGAGTCCCCAGAGAAGTTCTCCACTGCTCTGCTGCAGCTGGGACTGAAGTATCTCTTTGTCCTTGGGACACAGGTATGAACAGAGGTGGCGTGGCTGTGGTGTAGGCTGTCCAAGAGGAAAACAGGTTCCTGTGAGAACTGTGGGGCACTCAGATGAGAGAAAGAGGTTACTCAGCCCAGTCAGGCCCAGGGGTGGTATGTCTCGTTGCAGGTGGAAGAGCAGCTGCACAGGTTCTCTTCTCAACCATGCCATTTGCACTGTGCTTTGGGAAGTGATGCAGCACAGAAGCCCCAGTATGGATTAGGCTGCTTTTCATACCTGTCTGTCCAGAAACTATGGGGTTGTAATCCTGCTCCCTCTCTTCCCGACCACGCAGGTTTTGCAGCAGCGATGTTTTTTTGTCTGATCCTGTGCTGTGGTGATAGAGAGAGCTAAACAGCAGAAATTTAATCTGTGAAAGAAGCTAATAGCTTCCTGGGGTTTGGCCCTTTTAAATCATTCTCTTGTGTGGTCAGACCACAGACACTGTAAGGGAGGGGGCAGGCCCTGCAGCAGAAGAGCAGGAGCGCCCCAATGAGTGAAATACTAATTTGAGTTAGCCCCATTGTGAGCCCTGTGTGCTGTCCCAGCCTGGCCCCAGGAGGGCCTGCAGATGCCCCAAGCTTCTTGTGTTTCCTGACTTGAGGGCATGATGGAAGGGAATCTCCTTTGGGAGGCTTATTTCTGGTGTGGGCTGTACCAGCCTCTCAGGTCTGTGAGGTTCAGTACCACCCTCAGATGAGAACCTAGTGCCCAGGAGGTCTCTCCAGAGTCACTCATAACTTGTTTTTCCTGATCCCTCCCACAGCTTCTGGCCTGTGTTTGTGCAGCTATGATCCTCAGGAGGCACCTCATGGTCTGGAAGGTCTTTGCCCCAAAGTAAGTCCCAGGAGTTGCTCTGATGCTGGGTTGAGGCTCATTTCCCTGATGTCCTGACTAGAGTTCGGAGATGGTAATGTTGGAAGGGACCTTGCAATCAATATTCTGACTTTCTACCTAGCAGAGTTTGTAGGACTGTCCTTAAATTCCTGCCTCACGTTCAGAAACTGCACTTGAGTTAGAGCCTAGAAATTTCTCCTTATTTTGATTTTCAAGGACACACAGAGCCCACGTGGAAGCTAAAAATGTTCAGGGCAAAGAGCCAAAGGTAGAGATGCCAGACAAGAAATGGTAAACCCAGAAATGCTAAATTAGCAGATCTTTGGTGTAGTAGGAGTGTGGGGTGGCTTGGGCCTCTGAGGGATTCAGAATCCTACCTGGGTGTTATCCTCAATGGCCTCTAAACCAGAGGCATGGTTGTCTTACAGATAGCAGACAGCAGCTGCTGGGGAATGAGTGTGATTCAGGTTTTGGGATCCGAGGTAGCTGCAGTGTCAGGAAAATGCTCTGGGAGTGAGGGCAGCAGCAGCAGCAGCGTGCCTTCGCTGGCTGTGACACCCTGAATGTTGTGCTGGCAGGTTCCTCTTTGAGTCGCTGGGCTTCGTGGTGAGCAGCATCTGCCTCCTGCTGGGGATCTCCCTGGTGATGCGTGTGGACTGTGCTGTCAGCACCTGGTTCAGTCAGCTTCAGCTCAGGTAACCTTGGAGACATGGGGAACCTGACCCTGCTCGTCGGCCCAGGCTGTGGTTGTCTCCTTGCCTCCCTCGGGCCGGGAGAAATACTGAAGCCACCAGCAACGCGTGCCTGCCGACAGGAGGTGGAGCTGTCCCCAGCTCCCTGCCTCAGCGCCGCCGGACGGACCGCACCCTCCTGCTCCCTCCACCCTGCGGCGGGGTTTCTCAGCACTGCAGGTCAGAACTCTCTCGTTGGCAGCAGGAGGACTCTGCTGCAGGAGCCCAAGAAGCAGGACTCCTGTAGTGCTCCTCTGGAGAAACATCAGCCCGGTGGTCTTGCTGCTACTTTCCTGACATTTGTCCCCACTGTGCAGCTGGTCGGCTTCAGTGGCCAGCAAGGTGTCCGCTTGCCTCTGCAGAGAGAGTGATTCAGGGGAAGGGTCCTGCTGATGAGGGGGCAGGAGGCTGTGGGGAGAGAGAAGGCCCTGCAGCCACCAGTTCTCTTCGTGTGCTCAGTTTTCACACTGGAATCTAAGTGAACCTGGTTATGCCCGCAAATGGCTCCTGCGGTCTCGGTGGAAGCTGCTCCCCTGTCAAGTCAGTTGGTTGCTCTGCAGTGAGGCCCCTCCTGTTCCACGTGCACTCCCATTTTCCATGTCCTCCTCAGCCCTAGGAAGGGCAGTGGGGAGTGCTCTGGGCTGCCTCATCCAGCCTGAAGCAGGTTTAGCTCGTTGAGGGGTGGAAGCAGGGAGGCCTGTGTCCATGACCAGGAAACTCTCCACCCGTGGTCTCAGCCTGTCAGTGTCCCTGTGGGCTGGGCTGTAGCAGATGAGGCTCCCGAGCTCTTCTGAGCGTGTGCTGCCAGACACCGGCTGTTGGTGGGAGCGGTTGTGGTGCAGCAGGGTGTAGGGGCAGAGGGTAGCAGACCCCGTATTTGGTCTGGTCAGGAGGAAAGGGGAATCTGGAGTAGCTGTGCCAGCTTACAGGAGTGGCCTTGGTGTGAGCTCCAGCGCCTGGGAAGCTGCTGCTTGACAGCCCCGAGTGGGTGACAGCTCTTCTGGGAGCCAGCTGCAGTCACTGGTGTCTGTGTGTGTGCTGGGGGTTGTGTCACCTTGAAGGCACCCTGGGCGCTGCAGGTGATGGCATCTGTGATCCCATATTTGGTGCTTACCTCCCTCAACCTTGGTGTTCTGCATGGGACTTCATGCCCCAAGTGAGCTACCCCAAACCTGCCTTTGGCTGCTCACTGTCAGGAGATGACATTATTTCTTTCTTCATGGGCAGAATTAGAAAACAGTGACCATGGTGCCTGGCCACCTCCCAGCCAAGTTCCCCCTGCAGTTTCCATGACAGCTGGGATTACTTACTGCCCTGGACCACCCTGTGGCTTCACTTGGTGCTATGAAACCTTCAGTCTCCTTCACCTCTGGAGAGAGATGAGGATTGCTTGCTTGGGATTCCTGTGTGGATTTCTGTCCTGACCCCATTTTTTTTTAAATTCATGCACTGTGACTGCCCCTATTTGAGTTCCTCACTGCAGACTGCTGGCGTAGCTCCAGTCTCTTCCTCTCCTCTGCCCTGGAGAGTCCTGGTGAAAGTGTCTCATCAATTCTCTCATCATTTCAATGCCTGCCACTATGACCAAGTGCCCAGTTCCTGTGGAAGAGGCCTCTTGCAGGCAGGTTGTTTTGTATTTTCCCCCTGAAAAATGCTTGCCCAGGTGTTAGGTTGCAATTCAAGGGAGGCTTGAACTGCTCTGATTTTGGGGTTCCGTTGCCTGGCATCCTTCTGATCTGCTGGCTGTGCTCTCTGACCTCAGAATCACAGAATGGTTTGGGTTGGAAGGGACCTTAAAGGTCATGTAGTTCCAACACCCCTGCTGTGGGCAGGACAACCTTCCACCAGACCAGGTGGCTCAAAGTGCCGTCCTGCCTGGCCCTGAATGCTTCCAGGGAGGGGAAATCCACAGCTTCCCTGGGCAACCTGTTCCAGAGTCTCACCACCTTCACAGTGAAGAACTTATTTCTCAAATCTAATCTAAATCTGCCCTCTTTCAGTTTAAAACTGTTACCCATCATCCTGTCAGGACACTCCCTGAAAAAGTGTCCCTCCCTCCCCATCTTTCCTGTAGGCCTCCTTTAAGTACCTCTGTGTTGCTGTGAGGTCTGCCTGGAACATTTTCTTCTCTAGGCTGAACACCCTCAGCCTTGCATCTCCCCTGCCCTGTGTGCCCCTGCTGCTCAGTTTTACCTGACACTACCAGGAGTGGTTTGTAGCTGCTGTGACTCCCTGGGCTGCCTCGCTGGTGCTGGTGCAAGGCAAGGAGTGTCAACCTGCTACAGGGGAAGCTGGAGGGAGCTGGAATGCGTCAGACCACAAGTAGATGGCCTTAAGCAGTCCCACACTTAAAAACAGGTTATTTGCTGTATACTGTGATTCCTTGGTGTCCATACAGTTTTTGGTGCCGGGGGGGCATGATGGATGATGGTTGCATTGGTGTGGAGAGGAGGAAGGGGATGGAGGTAGCAGCTACATTTTCATTTGATGTGAGGTTCATCGAGATGACCTGTTCCTAAACCCCAAGGCTGGAGCCCAAATGGGTCTTGTTGTAACCTTGTAACCTGCTCAGGAGCTTGCTGCCTGAATATGTTTGTGCTGGCAGGAATCCTTATGGTCACTAATGCTGTAGAACTGGCCCCTGATGTCCCCGCAGCTGCCACCCAGGCCCCTGGGCTTCCTTCTCTCCCGTCCCTGGGACTGGTTCCTCTTCCAGTCGCCCCTGCCGTGCCGCTGAGCCTGGCTGTGGCCGTGGGCCGCCCCTGCCGTGCCGCTGAGCCTGGCTGTGCCCGTTGCCCCTGGGCCTCCTCTCTCCATCCCTCCGTGCCGCCCCTCGCCTTCCTGCCGGGGCTGGGGGCTCACGGCCCTGGGAGGCCCCAGCAGGGCAGAGGGGACAGCAGAGCTGCGGCGCCCGGAACGCACATTTATCTCACTGGAGGCTGAGCAAAACTGGCAGTCACAAAGCACAAGCACATTCTTGTCACTGCAGAGATGCCAGGGAGTGCTGGCTGCTCGGCCAATGCTGCTACACCAAAGAATTCAGATTCAAAATGAGCTTTCCAAGTGCTGGAGATGCTCCTGCTTTCTTTCATTGACTTTTTCAGCCTTTGGCAGCCTTCCTCAGCTGACCTGAAGCTATTGTTGTGCTGCTGTTCCCCTGAATGTGCTGAGGATGATGGAGTTGATGGTGGTCCAAGGCTTGGTGGCCTTGGAAGCAGGACACGCTGCTGAGGGTAGAGCAGATATGGCTGTGTTTGCTGATTTAAAACCCCAAGGAGTGTCCAGAAGAAGGTGCCTGCTGGTCAAAAGCAAGGCTCTTTGGGAGCATAGGGAGCAGGCTGTGCCCTATGTCCCTCTGCAGAGGTTGTTGCTGGAGCCTGCTGTGTCCCTCTTGTAGCAGTTTTTCATAGAATCGTGGAATCATCAAATTGTTTAGGTTGGAAAAGACCTTTAAGATCATAGAATGATAGAATCATAGAGTGGCTTAGGTTGGAAGGGACCCCAGAGATCATCTAATCGAACCTCCCTGCCATGGGCATTGGGTCCAAACTTTAACCCAGCACTGCCAAGTCCACCACTAAACCATGTCCCTCAGCACCACATCTACATGCCTTTTAAATACCTCCAGGGATGGTGACCCGACCACTTCTCTGGGCAGCCTGTTCCAGGGCTTGGTGAAGAAATTTTTCCTTATGTCTAACCTAAACCTCCCCTCATGCAGCCTGAGGCCTTTTCCTCTTGTCCTGTTCATCTTTAGCTGGGAGAAGAGACCAACCCCCACCTCCCTACAGGCTCCTTTCAGCGACTTGTAGATAGCAAGAAGGTCTCCTCTGATCCTCCTTGTCTCTAGGCTAAACAACCCCAGTTCCCTCAGCTATGCCTTGTAGGACTTGCACTCTAGACCCTTCACCAGCTTCGCTGCTGTCCTCCTGTGTGTGCTCAGCAGGGTGGTTTCCATCCCGCGCCCCACGGAGCAGCTGCACGTTGGCATTTTGCACGTGTCATGTGTGTACTTCTTGGCAGGTCTGCCCAGCGCCCTGTCCCCCTGCGCTGAGCTCCACTGTGAAACTTCCCTGGCTCAGGCTGGTGACGAGGTGCTGTGTCCCGTCGGCCAGGCGTGGGGCGGGGGTGGAATTGCATCTCAGTTTTGCATCCTGGGAAACGGCGACTGAAAGCCACCACTGCTGTGAAAGGTCCTGGCTGTTGGCTCCCTGCTCTGGTCCGAGGGGCCGTCGCTGCCCCGCTGCCATCCCCAGGGACGCCGCTGCTGTGAGGAAGTCGGCGTGTGTCCCCTC